GGGTGTTACCTGACGTAGTGGGCCGTGATACAGGTCACTAACTCTTTTATGTAGAGAAGCTAAACTGGGTGATAGATAGATAGATAGATCATCGTTCTTTAAATATATCATCAGCTGTGTGACGAGTATATACTGACTTCTTAAACGTGTTAATAAAGTGGACCCAAAGCACTGCCGGTACTGCGTTATTCTGCTCCGGGACACAGGACTTGTAACTCGGTCGATGGGTAGACTGTACTGTAGTACTGTACTGCACTGCACTGCACTGCACTGTACTGTACCATACTGTACTGCACTGCGGAGTGATATGACAGATAATGTCCAGGGTACAGACGTTCAAAATATATAGTGACCAGAATAGCAGTGTGCAAGATGAACTCCCTCCTGTTGCTGACGTTGGCAAGCATAATGCCAAGCTTGTCATGACGTCATATGACAGGTGTGTCCCCAGGTATGGACGTCAAGAGTTCCGGATGGTGTAACACTATATCACCAAACTGTTGCCCGCTGTAACACTGAGTATGTAGGAGATATGACGCCACCTATGTCGCTAGTCAAAAAACTGTGTACACCTGTCGCTGGTACTCCTGATTACACTGTTGACCTATCACTAAGTACTCCCGTGTACACCTGTGCCGGTGAAGGTTCTGTCATTTCCTAGTGTTGTGCCATAGCTGTAGTCAGGATGGAGGCTCTGATAAATCACCTTTGGAGAAAATTATACTCACTATTTCACCATCGCTGGATAATCGTAATACTCGACTGGGAGTGACAGACAGGGAGAGAGACCGAGTGTTTGTGGGACTTCCTGCTTCCCGGAAACCTGAAAGATAATAATAGAAGCGTGAGGCGTGAGGATGATATTTGTGACACTGAATTATAAACCCCCGTCCATTGTATTGTTCTGCCTCCCTTATAACACTAAACTTTGGTTAGTTTTTCTTCTAGTAGCTCTCTCTCTCTCTCTCTCTCTCTCTCTCTCTCTCTCTCTCTCTCTCTCTCTCTCTCTCTCTCTCTCTCTCTCTCTCTCGACGATGTTTTCAAGGGATATCTTTTCCGTTCGTGTTTCTGTTGTGTGTTCGTTTGTGTTTCCGTTTGTCTGTGTTCGTTTGTGTTTCCGTTTGTCTGTCCGTCTGTCCTTTACCAGAACTTAACTCAAAATACGGTTCAATATATTCTAATACAATTTCGTTTAATCAAGTGAGTATCGCAGTAAAGGGGTGGTTTTTGTTAAGAAAGGTTCACTATTATTGCCGTAGCGAGGATGACCATATCGTCGTCATGTTGCAGTGTGTGGAATGTTCCATCATGGTGAGCAAGTGTTAAATGGTAGTTTGAGCTTGATAAGGAATGGGAGTGAAGGTAAGCTTGTGTATCATCAATCAGTGTCGGCCTCCCTTGTGTTGCCAGGGAGGGTGACTCATGCCTGCCTGTGTTGAGAGTCTTCACAACACTCCATGTGTACCGCTGGGTGTGTTGCTTTATCACGTTAATGCCAGTGTTGTCTTTGGTGTGTTAGTGCGCTACAGGACAGCTGAGGGCGTCACCACAACACTTCTTGCTGCTCTTAATATGAGGTATTATTTTCTTCTTACTGGAAAGATAAACTATATACAGTATCTTACTCATACACGTACTTACTCATAGACAGCCTAACAAAATTTTACTATAGAAAAGACGCGGCAGCAGAGTGCTTTCATTTCAAGCCTTGCGTCCCAAGGGTTATATTAGGTCGCTCTCAGTGCACCCCTAGTCCACCCAGTTGTTAATGGGTACCAACTGTGAAAGCGATCGAGTACAGTGGCGGCCTCCTTGTGTACCCAGGGTTTAGTCTGCACTGTGCTGTATTCGTATTATCAGGCGCATGGGACCCATTTTCACTATTGTAGACGTCTGTTAATATGCTTTAAATGCGAGGAGACCGTGTTTAAGTGGATACTGGGACTAATGACGGAAGAAATAAGTTAAAGAGCTCTTGACACCAGATAGCTGAGAGAGAGAGAGGTGAACAGTGAGAGGAGGAGAGGAACACAACTTGGGTGGAGAGATACTGAAGTGAGGTGCACGAGGCTGTGATGATGGTCGAGGGAAGTGTGGGACTGACTGTGGGCCGTATTCGTAGCATTTACACCGCCCAACCGATCGGGAGCATTTAGTGTGTGATCATTCAGAGACGCAACAGACTCGAAGGCGGTGGATCTGGTTTCGTTGGAACAATTCATTGGGAATGGGTAACCGCCCTATGATTTTTTTCACCCTCCAAATTTTGATATATTGAGATAGCATATATTCAAAACTGATAGGAAAGGAGTTTGTTGGTGACAGAAAGTCCTGTTTCCAAATACATTCAAAGATTTTCAGTTTACTTACAAGTGGTAAATAATCCTGGCTGATCATAAGTGTGCAGCCGTGCATCAACAAACAAACAAAGCATTTATCTTATCACAGTTCCAGGGGTCAGATGCCTTGTCTTGTATAATTTTCCCCTTCTCTTGAATGAGGCTAACTAGAGTACTGTGCTGTTTAAAAGACAGAGTACGCCACGTTCTCGGCCATCCATATTTCCCGCTCCTTCCCGCGCCGTGTTTTGACAGCTGACTCGTGGCACACCAACCGCCCGGTGAAATATAACCTCCAAAACAAACCTCACAGACGCCAGAGAATAATAATATTTACATATGATGTGAATTTTTTTAGTGTTGGTTAATTTTTTTTTTTTTTGTGTTGGATGGATATATTATTGGAGTACTCGACTACCCGAGCTTCGGATTCCGATGGTCGGGCTCACCGTCTGGCAGTGATGACTGTGAATACGGACTTGAGAACTGTGGCGGAGGGGGGAGGATGAAGAACCTGACCACGCGGTAATGGGAATGATTATGGGTCGAAGAAAGATTTACAAGTTCCTTAAGACATAATGACTTAACGTTGTTGTTTGACCTCTCAGCACCCTCCTCCCTCCCTCCCTCCCTCCCTCAACAACTATTGTGGGACGATAAGTATTGAGAGTTAACAACGAATTTGTTAGTGACTGAGGATATTTTTTATCCGTTTATAGCATGAATAATAATAATAATAATAATAATAATAATTATAATATTAGCAATTCGATATAATACTGATAAATACGTAATAATAAGAATGGTAATAGTAATAATGATAAATATTAATAATAGGAATGATATCATACGATGTTCATAATTTACTATGTACTGTACAATGCGTGTCATAACTTGTGATGTCGTGTCGTGTGTGTGTGTGTGTGTGTGTGTGTGTGTGTGTGTGTGTGTGTGTGTGTGTGTGTGCTGGCTTGAGTGACTCCGTGAAGGATATGATCCTATACTTTTTGCCCTAAATTTTGGAGAAATCCGGTTCTCACTCCCTCGTATTATTCATTTCCTTTCTGTTGGAAACTTTCGTGTGGAGGGGAGGGGAGTCCAGTAATTAAGGGGGCGTGGTGCGGCGTGGTGGAGGCGGGTTAGGAGGCGTAGTGTGCGGGTTAGGAGGCGTGGTGGACTGGGTAGGAGGCGTGGTGGATGTGGTAGGAGGCGTGGTGGATGTGGTAGGAGGCGTGGAGGACGGGGTAGGCGTGGTGAACGGAGTAGGAAGGTGTGGGTGTACGGGGTAGGGGCGTGGTGTGCGGGTTAGGAGACTTGGTGGAATGGGTAGGAGGCGTGGTGAACGGATTGGGCTGTGATCAAGGCGTGGAGGAGGGGGGGTGAATTCCGAAGGTGTTGGGGATGGTAGGGATGAGTGATGAATAGAGAGGATAGAAGTGGGGTTTACTCTCGTAGGATGAAGGATAGTGGTAGTGGTGAAGTAAATTGGAGGGTGCAAGTTGGTTGATGATGGACATAAAGTATAGATGGATGAAATAGTGTGGTCTGGTGGATGAGTGTAGAGGGTGGGAGTGGCGTTAGTGACGGATGATAAAGGATGAGGGTAGATATAGGATGCTATGAAACTGGATGAGGTTAGTGGTTAGGAGTTTGTGTTAATAGCGTTACGTATTGAAGGGTGAGTGGGTGTTGGATGTGGACGTTATGTAAGAGGATAGGAACTACTAGTCTACGTGTTTTAATGGATAGTGACGTGGCCCCATGGTAGGAGAATAGGTTATAATGGGGACAGTATGTGAATGGATAGAGACTAGTTAGTTATGGTTTGGGGCAGTGGTATTATTATATACTATAGAAGGGGATCGATTAAATAGAGGGTAGTAAGTGACCGGATAGGGTCTTATGGGCTGTGTGCTAAGAGTTAGTGGCGTCTAGCACGGAAGGGAATATGTCTTACTGTGTGTGTGTGTGTGTGTGTGTGTGTGTGTGTGTGTGTGTGTGTGTGTGTGTGTGAAGGGCTGATTGATTAAAGACCAAGCTGTTCTGGTGCTGGTGTTAGGCGTGGTAGGGGAGGGCGAATAATGAAACTCGTATCTTCCTCACCATCTCGGGATCCCGTTAGTGTTCCGCCTTGCCTTGTTTTTGTATCAGGTGTCACTGTGTTTTATTATGTGATAAGACTTGTGTATGTATGTGTGTATTATGTGTGCGTTGTTTGTATGTGTTAGAGGGGAGATTGCGCTAGGTTGTGGTGGGGGGGACGGTTCAGGATGATGACGCAACACCACTGTCGACGTGCCATGTCACACACACACCCGGAACATGTCTCGTGACGCGCTTATCAGTTGGTTCTCACGGTTGGTGTACAGCTGGCACACCCATGACGATGTTGGAGCCAGGCTTCAGGGAACTGTCCCGGGCTACCATGGATACAAGAAAACACTCCCAGTAACCGATGTCTTTGACTTGTATGTCGCAGGAATTTGGCAATATTTGTAGCTTCTTGTCCTCGTCCCAGTGTTCACCATTCCTGATCTGACTGGTGGACGTTTTTCAAGCGTGAGGGATGTAGTTTTCCACGATGGTTTAACGCAGGCAAAGAATATATTTACAATGTCTCACTTGTTCGATGATCTAATAATTCTTTTCTCCCTTTTACAGGTATGTTGAGGTAACCGGGGCTGGCGAACACGTAAGTAGTATTATACCCTTTTACTTATTTAACCTTGACACGTGTCTATTTCTGTCTTGCGATAATTTCACGTATCTGAGCCAGCAGTGTAGTTGTCGTCGTACTGGGGAGTTATAAATATGTTCCTCGCTGATGTGGACGACAGTGAATCTCTCCCCATATTTCAGACTTTATGATTTATAATGCGAATTTATTGTACAATTTGATGGGTAATGTTGGAAAGACGAGACTTTAGTTCTGTGAATAGATTAACTTAATTAGGAGAGGAGGAGGGAGAGAAGGATGTAAGTGCTATGAAAAGATAGAAGTTAATTGGCTGAGTAGAGAAAAATGAAGAGAGAGGAAGAGAAAGGGTTCAAGAAGGTGGAAGGAATGTTTACTAATTTTAGGTGGAGTTTTTCTTATGGTATGTGATCTTCCCACCATTATGTGTCATCATCCCTGCTGACGCTGTTCCTGCTTATTACCCTCTCTCTCTTATTCTTCCCTTCCTTCACACACCCACGTCTAGTCGCTTCTTCTTTGTTCCTGTTTATCAGTATCTTCCCCTTCACACACTTGGTATTTACTGTTTTCTCTTTGTTCTCATTCATCCCTCCCGTATCTCATGTTTATTGCCTCTTATTCTTCTTTATCAATCTCTTCCTTCTCACATCCTGCGGTTGGTTAGTGTTCTTTGTTCTAGTTTATTTGTCTCTCTCTCTCTCTCTCTCTCTCTCTCTCTCTCTCTCTCTCTCTCTCTCTTGCTTAATTCCTTCCTGTTTGTTCTCATTTGTCAAGTCTCCTCAACATCCTTGCCCTTGTTGTTGTTCTTGTTGTTTTTCATAGTTTGATGTTTCTGTTGTTGTTGTTAATTATGTTATTGTTTTTGGGTGGTTTAATGTTGTTATTGCTGTTGTTGATGTTACTACTATTGTTGTTGTATAAGGTGATTGGCGGAGCGTATAGTTTGGGTGTCCGCGTACCATCCACCGCACTGTGTATTAAACGGGAAACTTGTGTGTCTAGTGAGTGGTCTTCTGTTGATTTTAAAGGCCAACTTGTATATAGATCAAGTTCAATGTTGTTCAGCCGACCAAGGGGGAAAGAGGGAGACGAGAGGGGGGGGGGGCGTCTTTCACGAATTTCCAGGGTATATTTATAGGTCGTTTGCCCCCCAAGAGGAGTGAGCTTTTTATTTTTAATCTTCCCGGTGTTGTTGTTGTTGTGTTTGTGTGTGATAGCAGTTGATAACCTTTATAATTTATTTTATTTTTTAGTGCAGTAGTTACTTATGTTGTGAATTATTGGTTGAATTTCTTTGTCTTTTACGTAGAGGTTGTTCATTGGTGTCCCCCTGTTGTTGGTGTTGTTATATTTTGTCTTACTTTCGCATTTTTTCTCGTATTTCCACCACACCTTATGTTTGGTTGTAATGGTGATTTTTATTGTTGTGTATCTCCTCCTTGTCTCCCTCACTGGGCCCAGGGAGGCGGCGGGGTAAGTGTGTGTGGTCATCCAGTTTGTCGTCCTCGGTATATGGCTTCTGTATTGTCCACCCATCATATCCTCCTGAGACATTGATGGATTATATGTCTTTTAAGAATATGTGTTTGGGATTTATGACCCAGATATATTAGCTCGGTGTAGGCGGAATGATGAGTGGGTTGATGTCCTTGGTGGATGGAGAAGATGCAGGAAAAAGGAAGAAATGAGGTAGGGGATTGAGAGTTAAGGAGGTGTAGTGGTAAGTGTGTAGAGGAGGTGTGGAGGGGTCAGGGAGAGAGAAATGTGGGTGGTGAGTGGTGGAGGCCGGCTAGCGGGGACTTCCCACACCACGACCACAGTTTAGTATGCCGGTCAAGCCTGCCGATGGAATATTCACGTGAGAGGCTCATCCCGCCGCTCACTGGAAGATGGGCTGCTGGTGCTTAGGGTTCTTCCGGACTCCACCGAGCTCCCAAGCGGATACATTGGAGCTTTTGAGGTCCTTTCTTCCCCAACCCCCCTTTCCAAAGTTGTTGTCGCCTTCTGCAGGCTTCGTCTCGCCATGGCTTTGTGGTTTCCTCACTTCCTTTAGGTTTCCTCTGGGTATTGTCGGGTGTGTGTTTTGTGTTCAGGGTTCCCTTTGTCTTCCACGGGTCCCCAGGGCTACTGAAGGCTCCTCGGAGTTCGCTGGTGCGTCTGGAGTTCTCAATGCTGTAGGAAGTTCTCTGAGTACATCTCTTCTTCTGCTCCCTCTCTTCTCGTGGGGAGGACGCCAGTGTGTTTCTTTTAGACTCCGCAGTGGTCTTGTCTCTTTACTGGCTGTTTTAGTTAACTCTTTGTTTCTTGGAGTGTTGAGTATATTATTGTTATTTTTGTTGTTGTTTTTGTCATTAAATTATTATTATTATTATTATTATTATTATTATTCGTTTATGCATGCTGCATATTATTTAATATTTTGGTCAATTAATCCATTGAGTGGCAAGGGTTCCTCGCAGCTTAAATCAAATCTTCTGGCGTTAGCCATAATAAAATCTCTAAAGTGCGACATTACTCCTGAAAAGTTTAATATTTCTATTAATAATGTGTCCAGATGCAACACCTGTCGGTCATCATCAACTTTACCTTACACTAGACGTGTTGATGTTTGGTTCGTCACATATTCATTTATGCCCGTTTTTAAACTTAGGGAATTTGATGACAAAAACGGTCCTAATGACTTGATTTCCGTTATAACTTACCAATTAATAAGAAACTGTGACACAGACATAAAGTGTTTGTAGCCTGAAGGTTAAAATAAATAGCTTCAAAAACCAATTTAAAGTTTCAAGACTAATTTTTAGGGGAAGACCATTTAGTAATTGTTTACAAGTTTGAGTACCCGAAGCGGTGGTTGCCATTTAAGAAGATAGGCCTTTGAAAATTGAGGCCCGGCTCTTACGTACAGTATCACTATTAGGAGGGAGGGAGGGAGGGGAGGGGGTAGGGATGGTCGTTCTTCATTAACAGTGTAATCTAGTATTCATAAGGCAACTCGCTGGATCAACAGAACGTTCTTTGGGGAAATCTTCACCACGAGTCTTTGGTATAAATTATTTGGCTTAAGTGTAATTGCTGCTCCTCAGAATGTCACACCTCCCCCCTCTCCCCCTACGCCAGGTTCCCCCTCACACACGCCAGGTTCCCTTCTCACACACGTCAGGTTCCCCCCTCACACACGTCAGGTTCCCCCCTCACACACGCCAAGTTCTCTCCTCACACACGCCAAGTTCCCCCTCACACACGCCAAGTTCTCCCCTCACACACACCAAGTTCCTCCCTCACACGGGTTCCTTCTCCTGCCAGGTTCCCCTCACACAAGCCGGTTCCCCCTCACACCACGCCAAGTTCTCCCCTCACACACGCGCCAAGTTCCCCACACACTTCCCCCTCACGGGGTTCCCCATCTTCCCCTCACACACGGTTCCCCCCTCACACACGCCAGTTCCCCCACACACGCCAGGTTCCTCTTAAGTTCTACCACGTGTCAGAACCTTCGCGCCATTTCCTTCCGCATGTCTCCACCCTCCAGATTTCAGGGCTGTCCAACTGTCAGGGCTGAGTGTATGTCATGGTCTTCCGCGTGCTAAGGCCTTCATGCGTCAGGTCTCCCATCTGCCTCGACTCTCTACAAAAGGAATGGGGGTAGAAAAGGGTTAATTACATCATAACGTAAATATTTCTGCACTTGTACTCAAACGGGGGGAGGGGGGGGGCTCTTAAGTGTGGAAATGAATAATAATTGTAATAATAATAATAATACTAACTAGTTGCTGTAAAAAATAAAAATCTTCAACTTTGGATAAGTCGACTTGCAGGCTACCAACGGCAACGCTGCAACAGTCTGGTTGATCAGGGAGCCTGGCCGTAGACCAAACTGACGGATGAGTGCCCCCGGGTTACTCTCGAGGTAGATAATGTGTGACATATATGGTAATGTCTAGGTTAATTGGATCTTACTCGTGCTAAAGTTAATGTCATACAAACTTTTCGTGCCCTTAACATCACTGCAGGTGTAGGCCGTAAACATGACGTTGTCGAAAACAGCGATGATACAAACCTTTGTTTGTGGGTGGATGATGTTGATCATGATGGAGATCTGCGTCGGAGAGACCTAAATGGGTCCATTAGAGGAGCTAGATGGGGCTTTTCCTGCGGTCCGGTGAGCCCCTCTCACACGACCACTCTCCCTCGCCGCCGTGTCATGTGTCATCCCAAGATGCCGTCATTCATCAAGATGTCATCCGTCACTACAGTTTACCACTAGGGTAGCCAGCCGTCGTTAGTGAGGTAATCAGTCTTCCAGTCCAAACTTGTACATTCTTGTGTAGTTTCTACGTTCATTTTCAAGTCATCAGACCTCACTTGTGAGTCTCTCCACAATGTGCTTTAACAAATTTGTACCACAGGAGCTTCCTGGAGGTGGTCTCTGTCGGAGGGAAGACCATCTCACCCAGTAAAATGTCGCCGCTGTCGTCTACTTGACTGGTGTTTAGTGGTGACATTAGTGACGGTAAACAGGTTGAGTTTTTTACTCCTGAAATACGTCTTGTGATTGTTGTATTGTCATTCAGTGTTATTTTTTTTTAGATAACAACTATAAAAACTATTGGGTTGAAAGTTTGGAGATTTTGTAATTTTCTAATTTGAAAATATGGAAACAAAAGAAGGAATGATGACTTGTAAATGGAAGGCGAACTTTAAGGTGAGCGGAGGAGCTTCACGTGGGTCGCCAGCTTTCTAATGTGAAGTTTTCATGTCGCGATTCTTGTGAATGTTTCATAAGTCTTGAGAAGCAGGATATAAGAGGCGCGCTGAATATACAATGGAGGCTCCCCGGCCTCTCCTGCACCCAGGACAAACATAATCATCAAGGTTCAACCTAAGATTTAATGATCTTGCCAAACTAGTTCAGCTGAGCGATATGTAATCCCCCCCCCCCCTCATCCTCCCCCTCAAAACTTGTCAAGCTACTCTCGCCATGAATTGGAAAA